AGGCTTTGCTGTAGTTGGGGTCGATGCCTATGGCCCGTTCACAGTCTCTCACTGCCCCTGCATAATTCCCAAGTTTGCTGTAGGCAGCGGCTCTGGAGGGGAGGGAAAGGGGCAGGGAGCACTGAGCAGCTGGAGTATCCCCAGGGAAGTTCCCCTGTTCCCCCTCTGTTGTGCAGGAGGGAGTGGGGTGTGAGCCTGGCACAGCCCCAGCCCCACCCAGGGGGGCCACCCCGACCCCAGCCCCACACTGTGCCCTGGAATCATCTCATGCAAACACACCCAGGCTCCTCCTCATCCCTCCTGAGGACATTCCCAGAGCAGGCTCTGGGGAGGCACGCAGGGATCACCTGCCAACTCAGGAAAAACCTGGTTTGCCCTCATCCCTCAGTGCCTCAGACATAACAACTGTTTCCATCCACTTCCCCACATTCCACACAGAGGGAACACTGCTTTTAAAGCCACCACGTGCTCAGCAAAGCCTCAACCTCCCAACTCTGAGAGGGGCACCTGCCCAGAACCTCATGGCACCAACACTCTCAGAGCTCAGCTGAAAGCACCAGTTTTCAGCCCAAAACCACCCCCCCCCATGTCATTAATGTGTCATTAATTATTCCTGGAGCCAGATGCTCCTGTGTGCCCACAACAAGCACGTAATTGAGTCAAACCCTCACTCAAAGCCTGCCTTACCCAACAATTATTTTCCCACCAACTTCCAAAACGCTTCTCAGAAGTGAAAAATACAAAACTCCACTTCCACACCCAGCTTTGCACACACCAAATTCTCAGTAATGAGCCTTCAGCTCGCCTCATTTCACTCCTTCATTCCCAACACAGCCTCTCCATCCCACTCAGAGATAACTGCATGGAAGCAGACACTCTTTCTTGGCATCCCTTATCCCCTCAAATGCCTAATAAAGGTCATTTCCACACCCACATCCCAAGCAGAGATGCCAGGAGGCACAGGGAAGTGTGCTATCATGAGCTCAAACCACACAGCAAGCCAGGAAGAGAACAAGAAACCCACAGGATCATTTAGAAAAAAAAAAGGGATTTTGACCCTTGAGGAGTCCTGGATTTAAGTGGTGAGGCCCTGGGGAAGCTGCTCCAGTACCTGTTGCAGAAGTACACAGCGTTGGCTGGGTTTAATTCGATGGCTTTTCCATAAAAAGACACAGCAGCCTCAAAGTTTTCTGCCTTCATTTGCTCATTTCCTAAAAACAGGGTGGAAAGAGGCTCGTCAGCCAGGGAGGGACAGGGCCAGCCCAGAGCAAGAGGCCTGGATCCCTGTCCCACACACCAGGGGCTCCCTGGGATGCAAGGAAGGGATAACCCAGCACTTCCAGGCTCCTGTGCCACCCTCCCCACCCTGCTGGAGCACAGGGAAGCAGAAGGGCTGGTGCCATCCCTTTGTTTCCCCAGCCCAAGCATTCCCAGGGCCCAGGGAACTGCGGCTCCCTCGCAGTCACCCCCAGAGCCTCCCTCCCCTCCAGCTCCAGGGCTGTCACCTTCGGTCTTGAGCCTTTCAGCCTCGGCCACGTCGTCCTCAGAGGGGGTGACGGGCTCTGAGTTTGTCCTGCTGTGTTCCAGCTCCTTCCAGGGAAAGGGAGAAGCTCAGATAAGGATTCCCAGCGAGCTGTCCCACACCTCCCCCTTCCCAGGCACATCCCAAACACTCCCCTCCCACACAGCAGCAGCCTCCTGGAATCCCAGCAGGACTCGGTGCTCGGGCTGCAGGGAGGGAAGCTCAGCATTTCAGGGCTCTCACTCACCTTCCCTGCAACAGCCTCGAATATTTCAGGAAGAGTCTGGGACACAGCCAGGCCTTTGTCCTCCATGGACACCCCAAAAGCTGTCTCCAGGCACTGGATGGCCACTGGACAGGGAGAGGCAGCTCATTAGCTTTCCCCACCCTCCACACTCACCCCTGTCCCTCAGCAGTGGGATTTCTCTAAAAAAAAAAACCCAAACCACAAGTTTCCCACAGATCTGGGCCACATCCATAAAATTTTGCCAGAACCTCGGAGCTGGGCAAAGCTCAGCTCTGGATATCCTGGATCAAGTCATTCCCAACTCCCACCCCCTCAGTGACTCCTCTGGGGGGGGAAAGTTACTCAGGCTGGGGCTGCACCAGCTTCACAGGGCTCAGCCCTGCAGAGCTCTCGTGCCACCTCCACAGCCCCAAAGCACCAGGAGCTGCCCCCTCCTGGCACCCAACCCCCAGGAATGTGCCCCCTCCCCACAGAGGTGCCCCTGCTCCTCTCACTGAGACAGATGCACAAGCCAAAGACTAAACCTTAAGCTCCTTAAGGAGACCTTTTAAGATCTGTGTGTTCTCCTTCCCCCTGAAAGGGCCTGGGTAAATCTTGGGGAGCAGCATTTTGAGGGTAGAACAGGGAAAACCACTCTCCAAGCACAAAGCACTTCCCCACAGCCACAGAAATCCTCATTTTACACTTCCCCAAGAGCCTCCACCTCGTCCCAGACAAACCCTGTAAGTCTCCAGCCCGGGGTCAGGGAGGTTTTTGACCCCAGGTCCATCCCTGCCTCAAGCTAATCTGCTTTTGAAAGAGCTCAGAGAGCAGACAAGGAATCAGCACCCCTGGACACCTCCCCAAGGGACAAATTAACCCCAAATCTCCAGCAGGGTTTGGTGTCAGGAGCAGCCCAGCTCAGCCAGGGGCAGAAAACAGGAAAGACATCCACATTTCCCTGAGTTTTGGCCTGACAGCCCCAGGCACATCCACCCACCTTCCAAACTCTCCTGGGCATCCGGGGACATGCTCCCGTTCTGCAGCTGGTTGTGGAGGAACTGGATGATGGAGAAGGCCAGACGCCTCTGGTCTGCCATGGTGGGAGCTCTGGGAGGCTGGGCTGCACTCCTGGGGACTCCCAAAAACACCTGGAGAGGGAAAAGTCATGGCTGGATAGAGCAGGGGCCAGAGCTTTGCTGCTGCTCCCCCTCAGGGTGAATTCTGGGGGATAAGGGAGTTGTTCAGGGCTGCCCAAAGATTCCAAAAAACTCCATTAAACTCTGCTGCAACCAAGACCCTCCCCTTTAGGAACTTTCCAAGCCTGGATTCACCCAAAATCCTGCCCCCAAAAGGCTCCTGCCCAGGGAAACACAGCAAAGGTGCTGCAGGGACCTGAGGTACCAAAGCACCAGGACACACAAACCCAGGCTTCACCACGAAAAATTCCCACTTTCCTGCTCCCAGAGCACAGGTTGGTTCTGAAACCAAAGCCGAGGGCTGAAGGGCTG